TTTCTGTCAATGTCAATCAGGCATCGTCCCATCAGACTTACCCATGTACCATCGGTCTTTTTTGCAGGAGGTAGACAGCACAAAGGAAACGAAAATTTCCTCGCATTTTGTCAGGAATTAATTTGAACGATGACCGCAATCAATCACGTACTCTCGGAGTGTCTTGTTCTTACAAAGATCCGTGTTATAACATAAACAGGTCAGTCAACCCTGTTGCCATAGTTCATAAGCCAACAGTTTCTGGCATGGTGACAGATATTCAAAGAAGCTCAGGAACATATATGGCATGGTAGCCCAGTATCTTAGTGATTGGCCTCGAACTGTGAAGGTGCAGAATTTGATTACGATGGACAACAATCTTCGCATTAATCGTACATTATCCTGAGCAAAAAATTCACTCGAAGATCTGGGTTGTTCAGGCGTAAAGCGTTGGACTCAGAACGGAGAGGTCCTGGGCTCGAGTTTCGTCCTGAGTCACTTTCCTTTCTTCTTCCAAGGTTGATAATGAGTACCACTCTGTAGCAAGGAAGTAGAAGATTGCCATAATCGATTGCGCCTTTAAAAAGAAGCCATTCCTGGCTGATGGTATCGAAATAGAGATGAAGCCCCACTGCTTACTTCATGATCATAATGGACCAGAAACGGTCCGATCATAAAAGTGTAAAGAAGACTGATATTCAAACATTACAAATTGCACTTTTCCTTTTTCCTAGCAACATTCTTTCTACGATAGTTCGCCCTGACATGTTCTCTTGTCCTTTTATCATTGGTTACTCTCTATGACGGGGAATGCTAACGATAAATTAGAATAGAATTTATGGCGTTGCACTTCAGAAATATTTGCCATATATCAATTACAATCTGACTGATGTTTTATTTTCGATACTCTTTACTTACGTAATGAATAAAAAGCTGTTTTACAAAGCACATATGATCAAAAAGCTCAAGCAACATAATTAACATTGACATGCAAAATCTGTTCTATTCCGCAAGAGGACATTTCGTTTCCATGATCGTTTTCTGACTTCTTTCCACAACTCTGATGCTTCATTAGCTCCATTAACAATAAACGAAGCTGCCACTCATCTCACCATGTATGAAAATTTAATGGCGTCCAAATGGGTAACAGCGATTCAACCAGACTAACGTCGCAACCTCAAACAGCTCAATGCCTATTTTAGAAATTTTTTGGCACGTTGAACGACGCTGTGAATACTGAACCATCATACACTTGTTGGCTGCCGCAGATGCGTGTCTGACGTTCCTTGTGGCGCTAGCTAGAGAAGAGGAAGGAGCAGATTGGTGCCTCAAATATAAAGAGCAAAAACTTCAATGTTGAGGTTCCAGCACTTCCCCCTGCCATAACGTATATACCGTTACTTTTGCCTCAAAACATTACAACATCTGCAAACCACACAACGAAATTCGGTATCAGCCCTGTCCACGTCGAAGAAGGCCCGTGAGACACCAGCCAAAAGCTTGGTACTGGTTAATCACTCGATCGACCGAACTGTTTGCATTTTGTATGTGCAGTCCGTGTTTCTATAGAGTTTTCATATGCTTTTCATTAAGTATTAAGGATGTAGAAAAGAGGAACACAGATTTTGATAATCATCCTTTGTGGTGCACAGGTTGCCAGCTTTCATTCATTCGCTCGCTCGCGTCATTCATTCATTTTGTAGCCCGGATCGTAAGCGTAGCAGCTTCCCGGAGATTTTTGGTGTTTCTTTACTTCAGTCAAAATGGACCTGTTGACGTTGGTCGAAGAGAGGCAATGCTCAAGCAAAATGAACAAACAGAAAAACAAATAAACAGAGAGAAACTATCTCATTATGAAACGATGGCATCATTTCATATTTATTAGTCACCTATGACTGTTATCGTCATAATTCTTTCCGTCTTCATTTTCTTCGTTGTTGCTCCTTCATTTTTTCTTATTCATGATTTCATTGTTGTTCTTCTTCGTCTTCATGTTTTTCCCCAGTTTCAGTTTCCATTATTATTTTTCTCCTTTTTCTACCAAAATAATCATACCTTTGATTCCTAGCTTTATAACATTGATACATTTCAGATGAACTACGAAATTCGTCAATCTTTTTTATTGCGCTCATTGCTATTTATACGTGCTGTAATATATTAAGATTGAGGCAACTGAAACTGAACAATCTCTGGATCGAAATGCTGATAAAACAAAACCTTAAAGCAAGAATAACTTTCTAATTACTCTGATGGTTCGCTGTTTGGCAGTCCAGTAGCGATGTTTTGTATCTTACAAAATTTTTCAGTGGGATACAATTTTGCTGCGCAGCAAAATGATGCCAAGTTTAGCATCTCATCCTGCCATTTTTGAAAACCTCACATTTAGCCATGGAGCAATAAGCTTATTGTTCATTATTTCATATTTTATGAAACAACTGTGATACTCGAAACATGAGCAGTGTGTGTGTGACGAAATATACAGGGAGATGTCGTGTAAGACATATGCAGACAGTAACACAACGCAACAGGTCAACAACACAATCCAGTACATCCACATGGTAATCCATCAGCTGATACTTTTGTATGAAATCTTAGACCTTTATCAGGCTGCAACTGGTTATTAATGCAATCTAGCTGCCAATCGCATAGTTGAACACAAACGATAACAATTGCCCTGAAAATCTGCAAGGTACAGACTAAAACGTGAATTTAGCAGAGTGACGAACGTATAGCATGGTAAAGTACATTTTGTTCTAGTGCATAAATCCTACCCTTTTGTATTTTCTCCATGACAAGCAACAAATAAACAAACTACTGCTGAAAAATGACATATTTACAAAGTGTCAATTTTAGTCGAACAGGTAGTGAGGGTTTCGATTCGCCTGTTCCTTTGTTACTTGACCATAAACGAGGTGACGGCATGAATACGAAAAATTACTAATGGGTTTTCTTAGTTTAAAATTTCATCGCAGCTAATAACCCTTCTTGTCATGGAAACAAATGAAGCATGGCGTCTGCATTCCGTCAAACAAGGATAATTGACGTTCCAAGCAGGTGGCTAAATTGAGTACAGAAAGCGCCTTGCATGCAAGCCCGACCCTCCCTTACAAAATGCCTCTTTTCAGGTGGCAGTACATAGCGCAAAGGGTCTTTCGAACTTACATAAGGGCAATTTTCTGACTCATTAACAATGGAGTATTGATAATTAGTAGAATTTCCGTGATGATCAGCGGTTCGACCGCAATGGAAAATGCTCTTAATCGAGAAAGTGTGAACAGAAATTTCAAGAAGCTATGAGAAAATAATCGGAAAGCTGTGTAAAGTACGAAAACTTTTATTTTATAGTCCCAGTGTTAAATCCAACATTGAAAATAGACATTAATAAATTGCTTAGTAAGTGCTTTTTCTCATTATTCAGCTATCAAAAAATTGCACGACGCCAATAGAAATAAAAA